ATTGATAGATAGATAGAAAGTAAACTTTATTCTGGGACAAGGTCCCTTATGAATAACAGATATGAACAAAAAAATAAAAACTACATCTGGCCAAAAATTACATTAATCAATATTAAAGTATATATACAGTATCTTCAGTGAAATTAAATTAAAACAAGTAAAAATAAAATAAAATTTTGAGAAAAAACAAAATAAAAAAAAAATTATTTAAATGAAAATAAAAATAAAATAAGCATGGGTTGATTTTTAAAATTAAGACTCAATAAATTTTATCAACCATTCACCTCAGTCAAAATCTGTTTCACAATATTTATTTTATTGTATAACGTCATTTTGGGATGTGAGAAGGAATTGGTAGAGATGATATTTAAATGAAGACAAGGAGGAGGCATGGCGGATTTCAGATGGCAAGGAATTCCAGAAGGCTGTGGATCGGGAAATAAAGGAATATTCAAACGTCTTAGTTCTATGGGAAGGGATATAAAGGTCGGAAACACGAGATCTTGTTTTCTGGGAGTGGGCCACGGGTTTAAACTGTAGGAGACTGTAGATGTAAGAAGGGTGTCTGGTGTTGATTGTTTGGAATAGGAAAGATCCGAGGAAATATTGTCTGCGGAAAGAACGGAAGAGCCACTTTAACTCGTCGTAAAGGTGGGACACATGAGATCGCCTTGATGTACCGAAGACAAATCTTAAGCACGTATTCATGAGTCATTTATATATTTTTTATTTATCATTTATATATACATCAGAGTAATTTATATATTTTTTGTGATATTTTGTGGGTATTTACATGTTTTTTAAATTTTTTTTTCAGAACATCTGTTTGATTATAACCTTTCTCAGTTGTGCAACCTTATCTTTCTTTCAGTGTGCGATTGAATGTCATGAAGTAATATGATCTTAAGTATATTTTCTTGTCCTGATGATATCTGAATTGGCAAAACGTATACGGGTTATTTTATTCTCTACCTGCATTTTAGAGGAACAAGAGTCTGTGCTTGAAATTCTCCAATTATAAACCAACATTAAATATACCAAGCAATACAAAATAAAATAACAAAGAAATGGAGTGGAATATTGATATTAATATTATGTTCCCTATATCGATTGGGATGACATTTAATCAAAATCATAACCATATCATTGTTTTTTGTCCTTCTTTATTTTCAATATTATACTTCTCAAAGTCACGTCGAATCTTTATTCGGATCATGACATACAAAGGGAAATTAATGGTTTTTTAAACTGCATTTTTCAATGTATAAATCAAACAAAAATCCTCAAACAATTCTGTATCACATCTTTATTTTTTCCATTATCATTTTAAAAAGTAATGCTACGATCTTTATAATTTCTGTTAGTATCTGTGACAGACTGTAAGGAGAATCACAGAGAAACGTGCTTCTCTGCGGTTTGAGAAGATTGGACGAATTTCGGTCCCTCTGTTTCTAGGTCAAGATATTATTTTCCGATAGAAATAACTGAGATAAATCATTATATACTTTTTTTTTTTAAATAAATCTATTAATTTGACAATAGGGATTCATCGCTTTACATCGCAGTAGATAACGATTTTTCCTCACCTTGGAACTTGGGCCTATAGAGACGGTAATTGAAGTCCCTATTGAATTTCCCTTCAACATTAAGCAGGCTCGGATATCAATCAGCACTCCATTATGTTGTGTAAACAGCCCTCTCTCTCTCTGTAAGCAGGATTTCATTCCAACTAATATACTGTCTTTTGGTAATTTATTTTTAAATTAGTCCAATATTTTCATACGATGAACAAAATTATAGATCGTGTATCAAACTAAATACAAAAATTGAATGTCTGAATCACTTATAATAATATTATAACAGAAGAAATGAAGCCAAGTAACACAACTTGTAATAGATGGTATTGGTCTCTAACAAATATCTATTGAAATCGTAATGTACCAAGAGCTCTGAAAATAAGAGTATATAAGACGGTCCTGCAACCAGTTGTTATAAGTGGAAGCGAGTCCTGGACACTTCCACTCAACGAAGAGGGCTATTGGAGAGGTGGGAAAGAAAAATCCTTCTTATAATCTATGGCCCAACCATGGAAGGAAATATTTGGCGGATGAAGATATAACGATCTAAGAAGCCTGGGTGTAAAAAGATGGAGATGTCGGTTTGGAGGAAGATAGTAGAGGAGGCCAAGATTTTGCAAGGACCATAGCGCCATCGGATGATGATTATGATTCCACGTATAGTAACTAGTATTGCCCAAATGCGGGACCGAAACGAGTCTAATGGTCTTGCAAAGTCAGTCTTGGTCATGGTATTGGTCTTGCGCAAGAGTCTCGCTGCAGTCTTTCAGTTACTTATTAGCTTATTCCTGCAGAGATATTACTGTAATTTTTTAGATAGGAGAAACCTAACTAAGCCCAAATGAAAAATTAGAGGAGTTAAATGCAAAAGTATATTGGTTAGACCAATTATTTACATATAGTAACTAAGATTGTCGAGTATTAGTAACTATTTTGCTATTATACCGATTATTATACAATCTATTGAACACATACTCGATGAAGCTTCATGTATTACTAGTACTGTTATAGTAGAAATTTAATTAATAAGTGATTAGCTTGTTCCACTTGAAATTATCCCTCCTATCTAATAATTAAGCAATAAGATACAGCTGTCCCTGAACCTAGACTAATCCATTGTTGTACTCACTCAAGATCTATTTGTTTGGGGGGGAGGAACCTATGGTTTGCAATTTTCTCTTAGTCGTTTATTTGTATATACAATATATTTGTAATATTATCAAGTCGTCTATTCGACCTTTATCAGTTATCTATGTCAACCATATCTTAAACGATATATTTTAGGGCTTTGATATGAAGAATTCGGTATAGTTCTACCGAACTTTATCGGGTTTCACAGGCGGTTCTTCGGGAGAGAGGGCTTTCTGCCGGAGGCTCCCCTCCAAATTGGTAAAATATAACCATGTCTTATGAAAAAAGTATTAAAAAGTTGACTCTAAAAGTATTATTACTCGCGTAATTACATTTGATAGAACTTCAAGAATCACTAATACACCATTTTATATAATTTCTTCCAATATCGTTACATAAAAATAAGTTTTTGGGATGAAGCCTCATCTCTAAAATTAAATCCTGGATCCGTTAGTACCGGATCGTGATATCCGAGCCGAAATATTTAAATACGATGATCCATTCCATAGCATTATTGAACCATCTGATTTTTAAAATTCACCTATTTTTTCAATTATTCATAATTGTAATAGGGATAGGAGTTTGTCCCTTTTCTGTGAAGTTCTTTCTCATCATTCATCAAAACCCATCGCTCCTCCGGACAAGGAATCCGTATACTACCGTATCGCATATAGTGTAGATAACAACTGAAAGACATTTTGACTTATTCATTAGTCTTTGAAAGAATTAAGGGCTGTTTCTTTTTATCGTCTAATAATATTATTTCGAATAGGAACTTATATTTTCAGTTCTTGTTCAGCAAACGTAAATATCTTTAATATATTTAAGAGGCAATTCCGTGGAAGGTCCAACGTTATCCTCAATATGCTAAATGCCTTCTTGGCGGCTTTTCAGCAAAACCTGTTGATCTCGTACCTACCTTGCCAAAAATAGTTTTATTACTTTTCACTTACTTATATATGAAATATATAGTAATGGGAAATACTTTAATCCTAAAAAAAATTAAAATTAAAACAGAGTATTCTCAGAAATAAACGTTTTATGATCCCGCGGGTCCAAGTATCGCAAAATGGTCTGTGTGTACGGCACTAGTTAATAATAATAATAGTTCTGTAATACTGAAATTATGTACTCAAGAAATTTATGAGATGATAATCAACTTTTTCCCTAACATCGACTAAACAGTAATACGACTTAATATATTTATTGCTTCGAAAACACCCCTAACGATTTTGATTAAACTCAAGGTTATATCAATCGACAGTTAGTGAATTTTAATATCATATAAAGAAACCGCTCGACGTTTCCGATTACTTCAGCACTTACTAGACAAACTCTCTAAACTTCCAATTAATTACAAAAGACTCATATACTTGACTATAATAAGGCCTATTTGGACTTACGGAGTTGAGCTATGGGGCTCCACTGAACCATCTAATTCCTCTCGTATCCAATCCTTACAATCCAAAATCCTTCGTAAAATCCTCAATGCTCCCTACTTTGTCACAAATAAAACCATCCATAATGACCTTAATGTTTCTTTTGTTTCAGATCTGGCCCAATCCAGATACCTATCCTTCCATAATAAACTTCAGAATCATCCCAACCCTCTCGTTTCTAACCTTGCTTTCTCCTCAATTCCTGATAACCCTCCGAGGCGTCTGAAAAGAAGATTTTATCACCGTGACTCCTAATGTAACATATCATTAGATATGTGCTAGGCCCCGTGATCTCCTAATGTAAACATATCATTAGAGTGCTACCATTGGGTAGTTACTCAGCATGTGTTTTTCATGTCATTATATACATTATGTTCATATTTACTAGATGAATTTTTTAATACAGTCGTAAATGTTTTTAAGAAATAAAAAAAAAATACCAGGTATGTCTTATCTTCACTTTAATAGTCTCAAAGCGCATAAATCTCAAATGTATAACTAGCTTAAGATACATTAAAAACGAATTTCCTGACATAAGAATATATATATATATATATAATATATATATATATTATATATATATATATATATATATTTATATACATATTCGCTCTGAAATTCGCATTCAAACTGAGTAAATATTTATTTTCCTTGTCAAATCCGACTTGTAATCCACTTTAACGTTTCGGATTTTTTCGATACAGGAGTATGCTGTCTCTTATATCGAACAATAACAAAAAGCGCAAGAAGTCTATAAAAATGTATTTGCGCCTGTCAACTTATAGTAGAATTTAAATTGTAATTAAAAATGTAATAATTATCATATTTTTATGTTCTCTTTTCTTTTTTTCAGGATCAGTGTTTTGCTGTATACAGTGACACAAGTTGGGAGGTAAGTCAACAATATTTTTTTATGAAATTATTTAAAGATTTTTTGTTTTTGATAGCTTTACAGATCTAGTAGGTCTTTATCAACCGGCCATCTCCACCTCTGCCATACTTGGCATTCATTTCTGTTGTGAATGCATTTGTTAATATTTCTATCCATATGGTTTTAGGACAAGAACCTTTGCCAACTACTGTGTCATTCATTCTTGTATTTTGATCCATCCCAACCTGCTAGCTTTCATACCATGAGATATTGATTGAACAGTTTCTCTGATGCTCCTTCTCCTCCATACGTTTGCGGTTCGCTTAGCCTCATAAAACTACTACTATTTATCAAACAAGAAAAAAAAAGTTATTAAGTTGTATGCGTGCATTAACAATGAAATCCCTAATGGAAATCGCGGTTTTTTTACATTATGCCAAAAAACTTTCTTAAGAACTTTGACCAACATTGAAATCTCGAGGAATGCGTTTCAAGCAAATCAATGGTGATGACAAAGTTGTGAAGTTAAAAAAGTCTAACTTCAGACAATACAGGCCCGTCACAATGGTCCGTCTCTGCTTATAATTAACTTGCTGGGACAAAGCCTTGGAAATTTCTGAATTCGAGAATTATCATCCCGTTATAAAAAAAGTAACAAAAACAACAAACGAACTTCTACGGTTAAATTACCCATTTACTATATTTTACATATTTATAAGAATTTCAATGAAAACATTTTTTTTTTTAACTTAATCAATCAAAAATAAAATATATCAAGAGATGTCCATATAAGAGAAAATGTGTTATGTTCCTTTAATTTTTTTTTTCATATGAGACAGAATAGCCATATTATTCGCAGTAAAATGCAGGTATTTATTTAAATAAATATTTTGGACAGTGCTTAATACATAAGAATCGAGAAATTTCAGAATCTTATTTTACATGTCAATTGTAATTAAGAAAAATAGCGATTCTCTATATTTTGTGGAAAAATAAAATTTGAATGTTTATTTAAGTCGTTTATTTAGTAATTGAAGGCTTATCATTATTGATTATTTTTCAGAAAGAGGGAAAAAGCTATGTTATCTATTCAAATCGTGATAACAACATTTTCCAAAAAAATAAATTAAGAACTTTTTTATCAGTAGTACATATTCCGATTATATTAATAGTAATTAAAAAACATCAAAACTTAAATAGGGCCGCTTTTAGACAAATTAAACTTCAAGACTCGTTTTGGAATACATAAAAAGTTGATTTTGATTGGGTTTGGAAAGAAAAAATCGTTTATGTATATAGTGAAGAAAAAGTTTTGGGTTTTCGAATAAAACTATAAAAAGCATTTGGTTGATTTTTTTAAAGATGCATTAAAAACGGTTTTTGGGAATGAACATACATTCAAACCACTTTTTTTATATATTAAGTTTTTTTTAAATAAATTCTTACGTATTATAATCCGTTGGATGTTTTTACACAGGAGTCTATGCTTATTTTTATTTCTAAAATAATCTATTAGTATTCAGTTTTGAAATGAGCTCATTTTTAAATTTTCAACGCTTTTACATTAAAACTTTTTTAGCCAAATTTTCCGAAACCTAATGATATCATCGTATGTTTGTATTTATGTTATTAATTTGATTTGTTTAGTTTCTTTTTGTTTATATACATTTAATTTTAGTATTATTATTTTACTATTTAATTTATTCTTATTTATTGTTCGGAAGACGCGAATGTGCTCTCTGAATACCATTATAATTTTTCTCAATTGAGATCGATTGTAATATTTCTGGATAAATATGTTTACGAAATGTAAATGATATCACTAGGAATTTCTTATCCCTTATAAGTATCAAATATTATTTATATTGAAAATTTAAGCTTGAAAATAATCACAAATCATAAATTGGATAATTTTGTGCATAGAAGATATGATAACCATCTAGAGGAGAGATTATTCATGTGATAAGACTTCGAAAATTAAATAGCATTAAACTGTAGGTCATCAATGAAAATCTGAACCCAAAGAGGGACAAAAAAAACCTCAACTCACATAACGTCCATAACACTAACAAGGGCATAATAAAACTATTTCAAATCTAATTCTACTAGCAGAAATTAGTCCTCAAGAAACATTTCTACAATAAATTTTGAGAAGTTGTTGGGGGGGTGCGGTCAAATAAATACTAAATTATATAAATAGTATTATTTAATTTTTTGCAGACGTTTCGACTCACTTTGTAGGTCTTCATCAGGTTCATAAATTAAATAAAATAATAATCAAGGCGTAGGATGTAGCACTACGGGAGGCAGTTGAGCCATTTTTCTTTCCAAACCGAATCGCAATCAACTTTATATCTAGTCCAAACGGATCTTGAAGTTCAATATATTTCGTTCAATAAATTTTGTTTAATTCTGTGGGTGGATTTGCCAATCAGAAGGTCAGGTATAGAGAATGTGCGAAATTGACATATGTAACAGGACGTCCATTCGCAGGCAAATATCGTAAATCATTGCCAACACGAATTCAGTATTGAAACATGGCATACCACATTAAAATAACTAACAGCTAGGGATTTTTTCACGATCGCAATACTTTTTCTTGCAATATATATTTCTTGTCTATCTTTATGAATAAAAAACTTCTGATAAATAACTAAATAATAAATAAATAACTAGGGTCATCCCATATCAAATCAACCAGGGTCTGATCCAGAGGATTTGGGATTTGATTTTTTGTTGAATACATTAATATAAAAAAATACAAAATTTTAGACATTTTGGTCCTACGCTATTTAAGTTAAAAAATAAAAACCTTACAAATTAAAAAATCCTAACAATTTTACTTTGATTAGTTTCATTCTTTTGTTTATATACATTTACTTTTATTATTATTAGTTTCTGTATTATTTATTTTTATTTATTGTAAATAGAGTGTTAATGTGCTCTCTGAACACTCACAACATAAATTTCCTTAATTGTGACAGATTGTAAAATTTCTTAATATTACATTATAATTATATATATATATATATATATATATATATATATATATATATATATATATATATATATATATATATAATTTTTTTTAAATTAAAATCAAAAGGGTTTTAATTTCAAAATTCAAAATAAAGGTTTGGTTTTCTTTGAAAAATGAAGAGCAAAACCACTATAGAAGATAATACCAGTTTCAACTTTCTTGGCCAAATAGTTCTTGAGAAATAGCCCTTAAAACTAATTGCTACCGTTTTTCGAGGTTCTTTAATATTTTAAAAATTTATAACTCAAAAACCGTAGGACTAAAAATTCTAAAATCTTGTATTTTTCTTTATATTAATGCATTCAATAAATAACCAAAAAAATATCAAAATCCAAGACCCTCTGGGTCTCCTGATTTAGTTCAAATGGACTGACAGTTCTACATACAGTTTTGTATGTATGTGAATTGAAAAAATTTTCGGTTTTGTTTTATTTTCATTTGTTATCCTCTAAGACAGCTCCTCTGAAAACGTATATTCGAGGTTATTTCTAGTTCATCTGTCAATCATTTAATCGCTAGAAAATAAATAAAGAATGATAGAATTGTCTGTAAGAAAAATTTTAATTAGATCTTGAAATATTTAAATAAAATAGACCGTTATTTTTCATTTCTTATATTTTAAAATAGGTAATTTTAACTTGCCTTGTTTCTTCCCACACTGTTTTCGCATTGTATTTTTAAAAGGCGATTTTCACAACGCTAACTTAAGTCCAAAACTTTATATTAAAGCATACCTTACCTAAATTTCTTTCATGGAAATTATTCAAATATTAAAAAATTCTAGTTCTTTTCATTATATTCAAGGGACATAAATAAAATATTAAAAGTAATCCCACGATTGAAAGTAAATAACTTTATACTTTTTCATTATGGCTGCTTTTACTGTTTAATAAAAAGTTATTACCTTTGTCTGATTAGTTTCAAAGTAATTTAAACTTTTATTTTTACTATAATCAAACTACCGAGCGGCCATATTTGCTTGCCGACCAAATCCATAATACTTTTTGAGTTCAAATCAATACGCCTGAGTTAATTTACCATAGCTTTGAGAAAACCTCGAACCTTTTTATAAAAAGCAATTCCGTAGATTCATTGAACCAGAAATAGTGAAGATCAAAGATAGAATGATGAGATTGCTTCAATGAACTCGATGGGAGTGCTTCGATGAACTCAATGTAGAGTTTATTAAAAAAAAAAAAAAAAAGTAATAAAATGAAGGGGACGTAAGGAATATAAATTAATAAAAATATAAAATTTAAAACTTATTATGGAAAATAACAAATTGGGCATGTGGATAGAAATAAAACACAATACTGGAATACACAGTTTAGAATTTTTGTAAATGTTTCGTTCCTAGTTCTAGACATTCATCAAAGTTTGATTTTTTGCATCTCGGCTACAGCAACTGTTCTACTTTAATAAACTAGTCGATATAAATTCATATATAAAATGAAAAATAAGCTCATGCAGGGTTTTGGGTTGTGCAGGGAGGTGATGGGGCCAGGATCACCCTCAACCACCAGGTTTTCCTTCTTAATTAATTAATTAATTAAGATTACCCATTTTAAAGAGCCTAAGAATACCCAGGAGGGTCTCTCGATCCCTAGATCGTTCGACGTCTGATGAAAAATTACAGCCGGATTCGAACCCGAGTACACACACACACACATATATATATATATATATATATATATATATATATATATATATATATATATATATATATATATATAATATTATATATTATTCATATAATATTAGTAACAAGAGAAAAGATAAATAAGCTGGTTCGAAAAATGTACATATAAAATTTCAATTTTAAAAGAATTTGACAAATGGAAATAATACACTCCTCATAGTTTTAATAACCAAGCATCTAAATCTCCACGATTGATAAGAGTTTTTTAAAGATAAAGTACGTTTTAATAGAAACTTCCGATAACGTAAATTTCAACGTTAACTTTTTTTTTCGTTCCTTTTA